CAATCTGATGAAGTCCCTCGCTGTTGTTCTTGCGAAAAGCGTTCTGCTTCCCATCCTCATCGCGCTCTTCCTCTCCCTCCTCAACCAGCGCATGGTATGCACGCCCGTCTGCTGCTGTGATGAAACGCGTGTTGACTGCCTACCTTGTCTCGCATTCATGTCGCTACCGTCTGCATTCCGCCACCACCATCATCATCATCATCATCATCATCATCATCATCATCATCATCATCATCACCATCATCATCGTCACGGCAGATCTCGTTGCCTGAGCGGCCAGATGATGATGACGATACAGTCATGTTCACAACAGACACAGCCAACTATTTCAGTGGGGCTGCTGGTGATGACGATGATGATCATGGCAGCATGAAGGACAAGTACTTTCTCAACTTGTTTGGCTTCATCTACGGCACGTTTCCTTCTGCTCCAGGAGCACTTCCCTTCGCCCAGCAATACGGTGAGCACACATCATGTCACACAGCGCTGCTGCTGTTATTGCTGCTTTGTGCGTGCGTTTGTGCGTGTGTGTGTGTGTGTGTCTGTCTGTCTGCCTGTGTGTCTGTCTGTCTGTCTGTGTGTGTCTGTGTGTCTGCGTCAATGTGTGTTTGCCGTCCGTCTCCATCTTTGACCTGTGTCTGTACTTGTGTCTGTGTGAGCGCTATGCACCGAATTATGCTGTCCGCGTGCTCATACCCCACAAACCTCTCCCCCGCCCCCTCATCGATCATCTTCACCCCCGCACGGCCGCAGGCGTTGACATCGACCTGGCTGCCTCCGTGGTGGTCGTTGGCACCGTCATTGCTGCCCCGCTCATGTTCATCTCAGCAAAAATGGCAACTATCACCGTGACAAACGCCAAAGTTGCAAGCCTGCAAGGTGTGTGTGTGTGTGTGTGTGTGTGTGTGTGTGTGTGTGTGTGTGTGTGTGTGTGTGTGTGTTCGATGAATGCCTGTCTTGGCGTGCTTGGTTGCGCGTGTTGTGGTGTCTTTCTTATGCTGTGTGTTAGTCGTGTGCTGCTTCGTTTCTGACCCACCCGTGCCGGTCAACTTCCCTCTATCATCCCACCCCCATGCCGTGGGCTTTGCTCGCATAGACTTGGTGAGCGACGCAGGCATCAACCTCAGCACCGCATCCATTGTTGCCGCCGTTCTCTTCATCGCCCTTTACGCCGCAAACAACAAGTCTGTGCCGTGTCATTGAAACAGATGCATTCGAACCCTGCACTGGTCGTTGTCTCTCCTTCCTGCTCACGCTGCGGTGTGGCATGCACCCATGTTGTTTGTTCGCTTGCTTGCTTGCTTGCTTGCTTGCTTGCTTGCTTGCTTGCTTGCTTGCTTGCTTGCTTGCTTGCTTGTTTGTTGGCACGTGGTGCTCTGCATTGCGTTCCGTATTGCTCGTGGCGTCATCTCTGCTCCAGGTTCTCCCGCACCATCGACCGCCTGTATGTGTTGTTTGCCGTGCTGTGTGTTGGCCTCGGCATCACCGCCAACACGTGCACCATCGACAGCCCTGTGAGTCTCTTCGCACATGTGGGGAGGGAGAGGGTGTTCATGTGCTGCTTGCCTTTGCGGCTGTGTGTGTGCGTGTGTGTGAGTGTATGTGCCCGCCTAAGTCTCGCACACACTCGTCAGTCTCGTGCTGGGGAGAGCATGATGTTGTTGCTGACTGACATGATGCAATTGCGCACCAACCTGCTGCTTGGGTAGACGCTTGGATCCGACCTCCGCTTTTCCGCTTCTTGGTTCTTCATCTTCGCAACGCGCATCACCGCCATTGTCATTGGCTTTCACCTTGTAAGCGCCAGTGCGAATGTATGTCTGTGTACATGTTTGCACATGCATGTGTTCAGGCGTGCGTGCTTGTACCCATATGTATGCACATGCAGTTGCTTGGTCTCCTTGTGCCTTGTGCTCGTCACCCCCGGGTTCTTTGTCGTTGTCCTGCAATGCTCAAGCCCACGTGTACCCTACAATGCGTTGTGTATCCACTTGCCCCCTGCCTCTCAGCTGGCGCTGGCTAAGAACTCTGTTCGCTTCCGCCTTCGTGCGTGCTCCTCAACCACGACCATTGGCATCAGCGTTGTAAGATCTCAAACTGCCAACTCGCACTTGTCCACGCACCACATGTGATGTTTTCATTACGACGCCCACTGTACCATCTTCCCATGCGCACACACGCACACACGCGCGCACACACACACGCGCGCGCACTCTCTTTCCCTCTCGCAGACGCACGCAAACACAAACCTTTCACTCACACCCTCGCTGTATGCGTGCCCGCATGCTGCAGTGCTTACCACTTTTATTGGTTGGCTTGGTCTTTCTCATCGAACCAACCATTTGTACGTCTGGCTGTGCGTGCCGTTGATCTGCATCAGCCTTGATACCATCGCAGCACCCACGTGCTGTGCCGTGTGATGCCTGTGGTGCATTGCATTTAACTGCTCACTCAATCCTGGCCTGACTGATTCGTTTGTGCACACGTTTGCGTGTGTGTGTGTGTGTGTGTGTGTGTGTGTGTGTGTGTGTGTGTGTGTGTGTGCGTGTGTGTCATGACAGCACCGGGAAAAGGCATCACCTGCAGTTTGCTTGCAGGCACTGCATCGTTTTACACCGCCCTGACGATCCTGTGCCTATGCACGCTGTCGCTGGTCTATATCATCCTTTCGCTCGGGCGGCATCGAAGGTGCGACACGACAGCGACGATGTGCACAAAGCTTGAACCAGGGCTTTCCTCATGCGGGCTCACGGCTTCACCGTGGGTGCCACTCTGTTCATCGCCCTGGACTTTTGCATGTCCGGTCGCACATACACAAACATACATTCTCACACACATACACACACGCACACACACACACGCACGTTCACACAAACATGCACACACACGCATGCAACACAATGCCGCACACATGCACAACAGCCGTTCGGCGCGATCATTGCCCCCACCAACACCGACAACGACGACGAGACGCATGACGTGTGAGAGGGGACACTCCTGTGGCGCGCACAACGCCGCCAGTGGTATGCAACACGGTGCGTGCGCCAACTGCTGCCAGTGTCCAGACACATCAGCAGGGACTGAAGCGCAAGTCGTGATCACAGTGAACGGTGTTCCGCTCGATGACACGAACGGCGGACAGCCCAGCACCTCGAGACGTGCGCACACCCATCGCCACAGCAGCGACAGTGGTGGGACAGGAGATGACGAAACACAACCACTGCTGCTGGGCCAACGCACAAGATCATCCATCAACGCCACGGGAGACAGCGGCGGCACCAATTTTGCCGTTTCACAAACATCTGAGAGTGACGTGCGTGGCTTGTATTCGCGCGCCTGTTGTGTGTACAGATAACCCGGACATCTGTCTGTTTTGTGTCTTTGTGTGTGTCTTTGTGTGTGTGTCTTTGTGTGTGTGTGTATGTGTGTGTGTGTCTGTGTGTCTGTGTCTGTGTGTCTGTGTGTCTGTGTGTGTTCTTGACGTTTGAGGTTGGGCTTGAGTGCTATGTCGAGCTGATGTGTTGTCCTCACGCTGCTGCTGCTGCTGTTGCTGCTGCTGTTGCTGCTGCTGTTGCTGCGGGTAACAAATTGCCCACCCCTTGTCGACACAGGTTGCACCTGCGTCACCAATGGGCTTGCGCCATCTTGCTGTTCTCAGCTACTGGGGTAAGAGCGCGGCTGTGTGTTGCTCCTCCACACCTCCTGTGCGACGGTGCTTGCGAGGACAACATACGAGCTAATGCTCATTTGTGATTGGTGTGTGACGCGTCATGAGCTCACCAATTACTTGGTGGCTAACCCCCCCCCCTCCCCTCGGCCGCTGTCCTTGTGTGTGTGTGTGTGTGTGTGTGTGTGTGTGTGTGTGTGTGTGTGTGTGTGTGTGTGTGTGTGTGTGTGTGTGTGTGTGTGTGTTGTGTTGTGTTCAACTGTTTCGCACTGCAGCCTTGTCATCCCTACTTGGCATGTGCTCCTGCTTGTGGGTGCTGACCAACGGCAGGGTGCGTTGTGATGTGTGGTATGTTCATCTTTGCGTGTATGGATGTGCGTGCTTTTCCATGGTGAACCTGTGCATGCCTGATCATGCTTGTGATGCCTCCGTGTGCTCCCGCGCGCGCCATCATTCCACGGTTATGACATCTGCAATTTGCCTTGTTGTGCCCACACTTGCATACACATGGACATGGCAGACATCTGGCATCTACTTTGAGGTGCTGTTTCTCGATTACGCACTGCTCAACGCACAGGGCGTGGTTCTCTTCCTTGCGCTGGGAACACGTGGTGACCTGCTTGCCGTCATTGGACGCGTGTACAACCGCATCGAAGCACGCGTGCGCTCTGTCATCTACGGCACAGAGGAGGTCGCAGTCCTGGATACGGACCAGGCCCTGAACGATGTGCTCGACGTCCGGGGCATGCGCCAGGTGTGTGTCTCTGTGTATGTGTGTGTGTGTCTATGTGGCACGCGTTTGTGAATGTGCAAGTTTGCTTGCTTGTGTGTGTGTGTGTGTGTGTGTTTGTGTGTGTGTGTGTGTGTGTGTGTGTGTGTGCGTTGGTTGTTTCACTAACATGTGTTGTGGCATGTGCGGCAACCATAGGCGCTGGCTGCGACCCGGGATGAGCTCATTGGGACGAGGACACACCGACTACGCAAGTACAACGGTGTTCTGGTGGGATCGGAACTTGTCACCCATCTCTGTGACACAAAGATCGCATCCTCCAAACAACACGCTAGCCGCATTGGAAGGTGTGTGCATCTGCTGACGTGGTGATAATGACCGTGCGTGTTTGGGGGGGGGGGAAGAATATGACTCTCTGTGTATCCCTGTCTCTTCCGTGTCGTCACAATATCACCAACATCTTCCCCTCCTCCCCCCCCCCTTCTGTTTCACGTTGCTTGCATAGGGCACTGGTTGCCCACGGTGTGCTGAGCCATGTGACGCAGGAACATCACTTCCATGACGCACACTACTTCTACCGGTACGAAGGCATGCACTGCAGCGAGGCATCGTGCACGCCCTCCATCTCTTTTGGCTCTGCCGGTGTGTGGAGAACCAACCTTCTTCTAATCATTGACGTCTGCCTGTTGAACATTGCACTGACGCATCGCACCAACCACAAACATTGATTGACACGTGATGTGACACCAACACCAAACAGGTGGAACGAGGAGGACAACTCTGGCCGTGCTTCGATTGCCGCTTCGTCAGCATCAACGCCAATCCCCCCACACATGACGGCCGACGACTGGAAATCCGTGCACTCTGCCCTTGTTTGATGGCGTGACGTTATGACGTGTTGGGGTCTCATATCACACAACAACATGTGACCACTGCAACCATATCCTCGTCGTACAGTTCCTTGCGTTAGGTTCTCATTGTCGTTACCTGTTTACATTGCACATTTCCCACCCAAAGTACGTAAATGTTAGCGTCGCGAACGTAAGGCCGAGGACGTCATGAGCAGTCATTTTGGGAAGAATGCCGTGCAAGTATGCAAGCCTCGCTCAAGTTTGCGTGCTTCTCGCGTTGGGCCTTGATAGGTGCGATTTCATGCTGCACGTCCTCGCCGACCTGCCACACACAGGCCTGTTCAAGGCGTTGAGAGTGCAGCAGCACTCGAGGTAGCGAGGCAACGAGGAAGGGGGACAACAGGAGGTCTGGTGTGTGAAGGCGACAGCAGCATGCTGCGCATTTCAATCAGCGTGCACTCGACTGCAGCGTGAGTGCATGTGAGCCAGACCACAGCACAACAGCAAGCACAACAGCAGCACCACAGCACGCTGCTTTCACAACCCCACTACCCTGCTCACCAGGCCAGACCACAGCCGCTCCCTTTGTGCGCAGCAAGGACTCTTTTCATAGTCATCCATCAGACCTCTTCTTCTCTTGGAACGATGCCCTCACCAGGACCTCGCATCTTCATTTCATTCCAGTCAATTGAGGGTGCACGGGAGGCAGTTGCACTTCGACAGAGACTGCAAGCGCACGGTATCGACCATGTGGCCTTAAGCCCAGCCACCCGCAACGATGCGCGTGTTGCAGACCTGACCCAGGACCACATTCGCAACGCCGACCTCATCGTGGTCCTGGGCACGAAGCTGTACGGCAAGCGCACCGCAGAGCTGTTCAGCATGCACGACGAGCTGAGCTTCATCATTAAGGAGCAGAAGCGGGTGCTGCTGATCCACATGTGCCACAACTTCAAGTACATTAGCACTCAGAACCTGCTCACGCGCTCTCAGCACCACTCTGGTATCTGGTTCCCCCAGTACCAGTATGCCACGCTCCGCGCGTGCGCGTCGATGACAGCACTGTCGTCTTCAACAACAAGCGTCTCAGCATTCTCATCCTCGTCCTCCGTGTCCACCTTGACCCTGTGGAAGCCTGAGCCGCCAGAGGCAGTCATCTGCAGCATCTTGCATCTCGTCAGCGGTGCATCCAGTCGCGTCCACGATGTGGCAGTGCACGTGTCGAGAACGAGGAGCGGAGAGCAGTCCCCAGCCCCATCCACTCCACACCGACACAGCCAGGCTGCAACGCATGGGCATGAGTGTGAGGTCGGAAGCGCGACTGCCTCTTCTCAACTCACACGGTACTCAGAGTCGATGGGTTATTGGAACCCAGGAGCCACACTCACCCCAACCACAGCCAGGGCCACAGCCAGAGCGTCAACAAGGAGGAGATTGCCGAAGTACAGCGACAGCAGCAGCCGCTCCAGCTGTGATGACATCAGCAGCAAAGAGCGGGGCACTGGTGGTGGTGATACAGGGGTCTGTGATGGAAGGGGTGGCGTGAAAAACACAGTGGATGAAGCTGGTGTGAATGGTGGTGATGGCGATGACAGCACGGGTAGTCAGGGTGAAGGGTTGCGGGCTGCGCAGCAATGCCTTCGCTCCATCCTGTGCGACCCACCTGCTGTGTATGCTAAGCGGGCGGAAGCGCTGACAACAGCGCTGACAGGTATCGTTGCCTGCATGATTGAGAGCCCCAGCACCATCGTCAATGCCCTGGCTGCGGATGTACATGCGACCAACACCATCATCGACGCCGCTCACATGCATGCGGGCGATTACGAAGCCCAGAGGCTCGTCTGCTGCATCATTGAGCGCGTCGTTCGAAGACACACATCTCAATCCAGGCAGCGAGCGCACACACGCACAACCAAAGCCCCGACCGTAGCTGTTGGTGACGTGTCTAACAACAACAGCAGCATTACCAATAGCGTGTCTGACAACAACGACAACAGTAACAACACCAACAGCGAGGACGCCGCTGGCAGTGACCCAGGCAATGGCTGGGTGGAGGTGCGGCAAGTGCTTCTGCGCAAAGTTCCTGCGCTGATGCTGATGGTAATGTGGCATCATCAAGGAGACGAGTGTATCCAGACATGTGGGTGTGGGGTGCTGAATATGCTGGTGCGTGATGCTGACGGTGACCGTGACGACGACAACGATGACAGCAGTTGCGATGGCTCAATCGTGCTCAACCACATGGTGGCAAAGGGCGGCTATGCAGCCATCATCACGGCAATGCACACGCACTCGAGCGTGCCAGCCATTCAACGGGCTGGGTGCAAAGTGCTGGCCAAGCTCATGCGTCGGTGTGCCAGCACTGTGTCCAGCGTGGTTGATCTGGGCGGGGTTGAGGTGATGACAGAGGCATTGCAGCAGCACAAGGACAACGCCAGCATCGCGCGTGCTGCCTGCCACTGCATCAGCACTCTTCTCAAGCGTATCCTAGGTTGCATTCGTGGCAAGAGCACAAGTACCACCAGCGACAGCAGCAGTGGCGGTGCTGTGGGTGCGGGCAAAACGGCAGCTGCAGCACGCACCACCGCAATTGTTTGTGACTGGAGTGGTGATGTAGCTAGCGCTGCAATTGCCACAGCGCTCCACCACCAGCGCAGCAGAAGTGTGCACGTTGCCTCACTGTCTGTGTTCACCACCCTCGTACCCATCATGCAACAGCAGCAACAACAGCGACAAGACTGGCAATGTGTCCGCACCACAGCCGCCAAGCTGGCCACCGAGGCCATTCACCGTTTCCGGGATGATGCTCCAATCCTCAACCTTGCCCGCACGCTGCTGGCATCTCTCAAGTAGCACGTGATGTGATGTGTTGTGTGTGTTGTGTGTGTGTGTGTGTGCATGTGTGTGCATATGTGTGTGTGTGTGCATGCGTGTGTGGCGTTGTGCATGTGTGTGTGTGTGTGTGTGTGTGTGTGTGTGTGTGTGTGCGTGGCGTTGTTTGTTGATGCACCCGTGTGACTTCTTGTTGATGCACCCGTGTGACTTCTTGTGTGTTTTGGATTAGGCTCAAGGTTGCATGTATTGAATGACCAACCAGTGGCGCGTGACTTCGTTATGATTGAACAGTTCAAATAAGGGGAGTTGGCAAGCAAGCAAAGGCGTGACGGAGAGGGGCGAGGCAGGCCATATGGCATGTAACACAAGCAAGTAGAGAGACAGATGGAGCCAAAGAGAGAGTGTGTGTATGTGTGTGCGCGCTTGTGCGTGCGTGCACGTAGGTATGTATGTTAGTGTGTATGGCAGACAAGGGCATGACGCAAACGCGCGAACCACAAGCTGCTGAATGGCTAAGCTGTGTCCTCTGCCTCGCCAGTGATCATGGGATCGCTGGAGATATTGTCCCACGCGTGGATGAGCGGCTTGTTCTTCTCCAGGAGTGGCAGCGCTGCCTCCAGCCGAGCAGGATGCTCCGCCCTGCACGGTGATGTGGACATCTCGCGCATGCGTGAGTTGGTGTGTGTGTGTGTGCAGGTGTGTGTGTGTGCATGTGTGTGTGTGTGCGGTTGGAGGAAGTCTTCGAAGTGTACGCAGTGAACCGCAGTTGTCAAACACTTCATACACACACGCACGCGCGCGCGCACACGCACTGAGCGCAACGCACAGAGAGTAGATGCTTTCGATGGTGTATTCGAAACTGGCTGGATCTTCCACGGCAGGGATGCGCGGACCGGTGATGCCAAACTGCTTCAGCGACGGGCGGTGCAAGCGGCCACTGCGCGACCTGTGGCGAACGCGTGAGGGCAGGGGTGTGGCGTGTGCGTGAGTGTGTGAGTGAGTGTGTGAGTGAGTGAGTGTGGTTGTGTATGTGTGTGTGAGTGTGTGTGTGTGAGTGTGTGTGAGTGTGGTGTGTATGTGTGTATATGTGTGTGTGTGTGGTGAGTGTGTGTGTGAGTGTGTGTGTGTGGTTGCTCATCGCGGTGTACTACGCCATACAATGCATGCAACACCACTCTCTTCCCTGACCTGTCAACTTCCAGCGTCTTTGGTCCAATGCCATGAGCCAGTTGCCACCTTGGCTTTTCTTCCGGCTTCTTGCCATTGATGAACAGCGGCGGCAAGCGCTCAGCCTCCCTGCAGTTGTAAGTGCATGTACGTGCGGACGTGAAGGACCGGAGGTTAGACCTGCTGGTGTGAATCAAATAGGTGTTCAGCCATCATGGAACAAGAGGGTCGCAGCAAGGCGTCAACTCGCATGAGTGGAGTGCATGCGTGCTTACACTTCAGAGTCGGGCGCGTAGGAATAGAGCTTGCAGAGGGATAGGTGGCATTCCTCGTCCTTGCTGCCGAGCCAATCCTGATACGCGCAATGGGCCACAATCTCCGTACATGTGGGGCACCGCAAGAACCGGTGCAAAGGGTGCGACGCTTCACGTTGAATCTGTGCATGTGTGTGTGCATGTGTGTGTGTATGTGTATGTGTACGTGTGTGTGTATGTGTGTGTGTGTGTGTGTATGGGAGGATGTGGAGGAGAGTGAGATGGAGCACGGAGGGAAGTGGGCGTGCAGTTCTCCCACACGCGAGCCTCGCAGCGCATTCACACACACGCACACACACATACACACACGCATACACACACACACAACACACAACACACACACACACGCACACACACATACATACACATACACACGCATACACACGCATACACACACATACACACATACACACACACCTTTTCCAAGAGGTCTTCA